TGGGACAAAGTGCTATGTGCTAGCTGACAGAGAACAAAGAGGGAAGTTCGAACCCAAAAGTGATGAGAGCATCTTTCTTGGATACTCTCCGAACAGTCGTGCCTACAGAGTCTACAACAAGAGGACTCAGTCTGTGATGGAGTCAGTAAACGTGGTTGTCGATGACAATCCAGAAGAACCAGTGGACTCAACAGTGATAGAGTCACCTCTACGTGATTCAGATGCAAGTAATAACAACAGTCAGCTCAAACCACAAGATTCGTCAGATGAAGATCAAGAAAGTTCGGAACAGGAGATAGATCTCATGAATGATGTTGGTAAAGACAAACCCACCAGAACTCAGAAAAACCTTCTATCAGATAACATTATTGGAGATCTTTCAGATGGAATGAAAACCAAAAGCAGAATAAGAAATAATCTGACAGAAATATATGGGTCTTACTGCTATACCTCAAAGATAGAACCCAAAAATGTCAAAGAAGCTCTACAGGATGATCTGTGGATCAATGCAATGCAGAAGGAGCTACATCAGTTTGAGCGGAATCATGTCTGGAATCTTGTACCAAGACCTGATGGTGTCAATGTAATAGGAACGAAGTGGATCTTTAAAAATAAAACTGATGAAGCAGGGAATATAGCCAGAAACAAAGCTCGGTTGGTGGCTCAAGGTTATACACAGATTGAAGGGGTTGACTATGACGAGACATTTGTCCGGTAGCTAGACTTGAGTCAATCAGAATCTTGCTGGCTGTCGCTTGCATTTTGGGATTTACATTATATCAAATGGATGTCAAGACAGCGTTTCTGAATGGGTATCTCCATGAAGATATCTATGTGGCTCAACCTAAAGGTTTTGAAGATCCAGAACGTCCTTCTTATGTCTATAAGCTTCGAAAAGCTCTCTATGGCCTTAAACAAGCCCCACGGGCCTGGTATGAACGCCTGACACAGTATTTGCTCCAGCACGGATATAAACGCGGAAGTGTTGACAAAACTGTGTTTGTCAAAACGACTGGAAGTCATGTAACCATAGCTCAAATCTATGTTGATGACATTGTGTTTGGATCAACCTTGCAGAAATACACTAATGAGTTGGTAAAAGTCATGGAGGAAGAGTTTGAAATGTCCATGGTTGGTCAACTGACATATTTCCTAGGCCTACAAGTCAAGCAAAGTTCTGAAGGATACTTTATTTCACAAGAAAAGTATGTTAAGAATCTTGTCAAAAAGTTTGATCTGGAATCATGTAAACCATCCAGAACACCGATCTCCACTTCTACAAAAGTATCGAAAGATGAAACTGGTATATCAGTGGATAACACAGTCTATCGTAGCTTGATAGGCAGTCTGTTGTATCTAACAGCCAGTCTGTAACACCCCAGATTTTCAAGACATTTAAAACTTATAAAATTAAGGTGAAATCTCATTAAATCCCAAAACATAATACAAGAGTACGGGGTGCTATGCCACACCTGAGCTAGAGAACTCAGGTGCACAGGCTAACTAACTAATATCCTCAATAATGTAAATGCATAAGCATGGCACGCAGGCCGAAAGGGAAACTATCTACTTCTACGCTCCAAGTTCTAGCGCGCTCCAGTGACTTATTCTTCTATGTCTGAAAGCCAAATATATCTGTTCAGCGAGAGATGCTGGTAACCCACTCCAACGCGTTGAAATACAATACATATAGTTATATACATTGATATACGAAAAGTCATTTCGAAGCATGAAGATATATCCTAAGAGACTCTAGCTTTCAAATCAGGGAACCGACTCGACAAATAGGGGTACACACAATCAACAGTCATAATCAAGCATATACAATTCTCACATAGGGCACAGTTATAGATAAGCACAACCAATAATCACAATTAAGCATTACTAGCAAGAGCCCTATGGTCACGTTTCCATAACAGTCATATCATCAATTCTTCTCATCTCATCACATAGCACACTTTGTTGGTGCCACAGGACCAATCGCATGCCCATACATGAGGGTCAGCGCATATAGCTCTGACACGGCCCCGCAGCACCCTGCCCCGTCTCACAATACCCCGGGTCGATCGCAACCGACCGATGAACCGCAGCTCTATATAATATTTATATACATGACCAGTCTTTACCAGCCTGGTTAACAGTTGGAATGGTTCTCAACCCATTCAACTGCCCGTATAGTGGACCTTAGTCCTATATAATATTTATATACCTGACCGGTCTCTACTAGCCTGGTTAACAGTTGGGATGGTTCTCAACCCATTCAACTGCCCGTATAGTGGACCTCAGTCCTATATAATATTTATATACCTGACCGGTCTCTACCGGCCTGGTTAACAGTTGGGATGGTTCTCAACCCATTCAACTGCCCGTATAGTGGACCTTTGTCCTATATAATATTTATATACCTGACCGGTCTCTACCAGCCTAGTTAACAGCCGGTATGATTCTCAGCCCATACGACTACCCGTATAGCCCGATTGATCTCAACCCAATCGGGGTAACATGCACACATAACACATAGCAAGCACATGCAACCCATATTAACACATTGGGAAGGAGGAAACGTATAACGAAACCTGTGCGTGATCCATCACATGCTAAGAATAATCCTAGGGGGTTCATACTTCTTTCACCTAGGTCAACGGGATACCAATTCAACTAACATGCAATATATAAGACTCATACAACCTACGAACGGTACCTGAAATATCAAACTAGACATAGGCACGATAGACGGAGTCCGTTGGGACACCACGGGGGTCGGGGAACATCAAACCGGGAAGCCAAAATCCCAAGGTGGGGTACAAACCAGCGGGTAGCCGGTAGGTGAGGGGTCACCCGCCGGCGGCACTGTTCCGGGCAGCGGGTGCCCGGCGGGCGGGTGCCCGGCGGGCAGCTGCCCGCTGCCGGCGAGGCCTCCTTTGGCCGTGGGTAGGTGGCGGGTCCCCCACCCCCACCTACCCCCCACTGACTCTTTTTCACCAAAAACGCCCCGGGAACCTTTATGGAACCCGAAACCATGCTTAGACACTTTCGAACGCAATTGATAACACACGTAGACAATTAACGGATCAAAATCAAGAAACGTACGGCACATAACCTATCATGCTTTTCTAAATATAATCAACACCCAATCATGCGAATTCCCACTCAATATACCAAGAATAATACTATACGAATTCCACGATATAACCTAGGGATTCTAATTATTTTTAAATCAACAAGAACACAATTCATCTTCTAAAATCAAGATTCGGTAGGAATATCATGTAAATATCAAGAACATCATATAATCATTAAGAACATCAAGAACACCATATAATCATCAAGAACGTCATATAATCATCAAGAACACCATAATTATCAAGAACCTCTCATCATCAAGATCACCCATGGAATCATCCCACCAATAATAATATCACAAATCATCAATACACAATAATATGAGGAAATCCTAAGAGGGAAATCATAGCTATGAAAATAGGTTTTGTTGAGACATGGGTTACCTCTTAGCCTTAATTAATTCCTTGGCTATGAAGGGTCTTTCTTTGAGCTTTCTTCTTTCTTGATTTCTCCTAAGGGGATTCTTGGAACTTCTTGTGTGGTGAGAGATTATTGTGGTAAAAGATCTAGGTGCCTTTTATATCCCTATTTGTATATTTAAGACTCCTAATTAGGGCCTGAATGGAATGAGTTTACTAATTCTATTCCTTATAGGACTAAGGACTTGTTTTAGGGATAAGGGTCCATGGTCCATAGTGGACCATATTAATTAATTAAAGAGAATCCTAATCATAATCTGAATAGTAAATCGCCTACTTCCTTTATTCCTAATAGGCCTAAGACTCTCATTTAGGCAAGGCTCCACGGTTCATGGTGGACCTCATTAATTAATTAAAGGGAAACCTAACCGAATTAAATCATATTTAATTATTATTAACGGGATTAATTAAATAATTAATCCGGGATTGAAGGTTGTAACACGGGGTGTTACACAGTCGACCAGACATAATGTTCAGTGTTGGAATCTGTGCAAGGTATCAATCTGACCCAAAGGAATCACATCTGATAGCGGCAAAACGCATTCTGAAATACGTGAAAGGAACGATACAGTATGGACTCTGGTATTCCAAGGATAGTGAACTGAATCTGGTTGCATATTGTGATGCTGATTGGGCAGGGAATATTGATGATCGGAAAAGTACTTCTGGAGGATGCTTCTTTGTTGGGAAAAACTTAGTATCATGGTTAAGTAAGAAACAGAACTCTATCTCACTAAGCACTGCAGAGGCAGAATACATAGCCGCAGGTGGTTGCTGTACTCAGTTGGTTTGGATGAAACAGATGTTTCAGGATTATGGTCTTCCACAAGGAACAATGACACTCTTTTGTGACAATGTCAGTGCTATCAACATCTCCAAGAATCCTGTTCAACATTCCAGAACGAAGCATATTGACATCAGGCATCACTACATCAGAGACCTGGTTGAATCCAAGGAAATTGAGTTGGAATACATTCAGACTGACAAACAACTGGCGGACATTCTGACTAAGCCACTGGATGCTAATCGTTTTGAAATTCTCAGATCTGCTCTGGGAATTTGCAGAATTAACTGACTAAAGCAGTTGGTCCGTCAGAGAGGAGTTGGTTTATTACGGGTAAGTGTTATGACTTTGAATTTCCTTAAAGACTTCTCTCTTTTTATGTTAAGAAGATCATCTAAGCTTATTCTTCTCAGAAGATATCTTAAAAGATCTCAATGCTTTTTGAATTTCAAATTCCCTTGGGTTCCGTTTCCTTCCTAAAAAGGAGCTGTACCGTTGTGTCCATCAATCACTTTTGCATGATATTTTGACTTGCCGCATTAATTAGGGTTCATCACCCTTAAGCCTATATGATACCGGGTCAAGAAGAAAGAACTCACCTCAGCTCTCATCTCTCCATTTCCCGTGCTTATCTGCTCTCAGTGTTTTATTCTTCTCCTCGCACTTAATCATAAATGGCGGACCCCGTAAGAAACATCATCATTAAGCTTGGAAGCAAGGTACACCCTCCGGCGGCAGCCCTCAAACACATTCAGACGCTTCTACAGTTGGCTATGAAGAAGAAGCTCAAGCTTGATCCTCTGCTTCGCGACGAGATTCTGGTGACTGTTATGACCAACTATCCGGAGTTTTATGCTGAATGGTCAGCAGATGATGTAACTGAACTTCTTTTGTTGGTCGCCGAAGCCAGTGATGTCGTCTCTCCAGTGTTTATTCCAGAACCCTCGGATGGAAATCGGGTCGGGGCATTCCTTCAATTTTTTGCTCAACGTGCCCTAGAATCTGTTGAAGAAGCTCGACGATGAGAGGAGTCCCAAGCTCTGTATCTTGAAGCTGCTCAGAGAGAAGCAACACACAGACAGGAGATTCTTCGACAACGGGTAAATGATTCTAAAACCCCTATTGAAATTTCTCCTGATAGACCTGTTGATTCTTCTATTCCATCGTCTGTGTCTGTTTTGCCTGAAAATCAATCTGCTTTGGGTTCCGAGAAGTCCCCTGTGAATGCTGATCCTCTATCTTTGCCTGTGACTAATTTTGCTGGTGAAAAATCTGATGCGTTGCATGTGTCTGATGAGAAAACAAAGTCCTTTGATAAGCCAAATCCACTAAGTCTGGTTGTTAATGCTTCTGAAAATATTGCTCTGCCTCCGTCTAAAACTGTTAATGTCTCTAAAGAGTCTTGTCCTGCTGTTGATCCTCCTGCCTTACCTGCAACTGTTAAAACTGTTGATTTATCAAGTCCCCACAAGTCTGAGAAAACAGGTGGAGTCCCTGTTTACACTGTAACATCTTTAGGAGAAAGCCTGGAACATGTGCGACATTTTGCTGGGTTACCATCTACTTCGATCCCTCAACCTTATCGAGTGATACACCCTTCAGAATCCTCCAGTGAAGATGATAAGATACTGGCTGAGGTATATGGATCCCAAGCACCTTCTTCTGCTGCCCCTACTGTTGAGGCAACTTCTCATCCTGATTCCACGAATTTCAGAATTCGAGAGATATCAAATATTGTTGGGAGCTCATCTGCAAATGTTTCTGATTCTAGCCACTCTGTGACTCCAGTCCAGTCCCCATCCAGAGAAACAAGACGGACAAAAAGGAAGAATGTTCCAACGAAGGTTTTTGTTGAAACCAGTGCTGATAATGTTGATGTGGATCAGCCTGTGAAGAAGAGAAAGTTGAGTGAGGCTGCTAAGCCTGAAGGAGACCCACCTATCCACCAAGTTTTCAAGACTCTACGTTCCTCTGTTAAGCAACAAGGAACTACTGCTGCTCAAGCTACCTCTGATTGTTCAAAGAACTGTGGATGAGAATCAACTGAACTCCGTTTACGACATCCTGCCCTTGCTGAATGAAGTTGATCTTTTGAAAACTGTTACAGATGTTTGCCCTTACTCCAAGCTGCTCACATATGAGTTCTATTGCAATCTCAGTGATGAGATTGACAGTCTCACAGGGCCACGACCGATGCAAATCTTCATCAGAGGGAAGTGGTATGATTTTGGGACAAATGTGATAAATAAATACAATGGCTTGCTGACAGTGCAAGAAGAAGCTGTTACTGAATGGGACGTGGTGGCCAAAACTCTTACCGGTGGACATACTACATCTTGGCCTACAGGAGATAAGGACTATTTGCTGAGCTCGCATCTCACGTCTAGATATGTCATCCTACATCACCTGGCTCTGCACAACTGGCTTCCATCAGCTCATTTCAACACAGTTGGCAAGCTTCTGGCAGGGTTCTTATTTAGAATTGGAACTAAGATGCAGTGTGATCTGGGCAAATGGATTTTTTATCATGTTCTAATTCTGATTCATCCCCGGGAACAGAAGGTAAGATTACCATTTCCAAATCTGATTTTTGGCATCCTTACCTCTCAGGGTCTTAAGCCTATGCCCAGTGAAGTGATCAGTCCGACGCTGCTATATACTGTTGATAAACGTCTTCTTTCTGGAGATCATATTAAGGATGTCGTTCCTGTGACTGCCCCATCCAATTCGGAACCTGATGCTGTGAATGATGAGTCTCCTCATGCTAAAGATGTGAAGCTTTCCGAACAATTGAAGGCGCGAGTTGCTGATCTTGAGACGGTGCACGGTATCATTGCCAAGCAACTGACGGGTGCGCGCACTGAGCTAGCTACTGTTCTTCTCCGCATGAGCCTGTCTGATACTGCTGCTACTGCTGAGGATCTCGTGAAGTCTGACTGTGACTCTCCCTCAAATGCTTGATCTTTGGCTACCATTGGCAAAAAGGGAGAGTAGTAACTCAGGGGGAGTTTTTGTGATCGAGTACTTTCTGGCCCTGGCTGGGCGTTATGTTTTGATGTCGTTTTTTTTTTTTTTTTTTGTTCTTAGACTGCTTTGGATCTTATGCTCTTTTTATCCTATGTAATCAGTTTGGACACTTGGGTTGCTTCTTTTAATAACTTATCTTAGTTCTTTTTATATAGTTGAGTTGTTTTGCCAAATAATAGCCAAAGGGGGAGTTTGTTAGTGTTTTTATGTTCAAAAACCCCATATTATAATTGGCAATATTATTATAGCATACTAAGATAGGTTTAGAGTCTGTCCGGTTGGGTCTACAGTTTACTGATCAAGCAGAAGCAATGACAGAAGAACTGACACTGAAAATCTGATTTAGGAAAGCTGTTTCCTTAAGAGTCTTACGCGGTATTATCAGCCCAGTATGGAAAGACGATCAACGTATCTTCGAAGAAGGTAATGAACCTAATCTGCTGAGATTACATTCCTTTTATATAGTCCTACCTTCTACAATCAAAGACATTTTATGGAGAGTGTTTAATGAAGGATCTATAAGTACCAGTTCTTTAAGGGAACTAGGGTTACGCCAAATAAGAAGAAGAAACACTCCATATCAGCTTGATGAGTCTAGATCTTTGATGGGCATGCACCTTCTCAATACAACATGTTCACGGTGATTAAGATGATGAACTTGAGAAGAGTTACTGCTGCTTAAACGAAAGGACACTAAGATCACACTGTTGTGGGAACAACCTTATAGAGCGTCACTGAAGTGGACTGCATCAGAGCTGGCTCTCCAAGTGAAGGGATTTCATTGGACTTCTGTATGCATGGCTCTCCATCTTCAACAATCCACTAAACCTGTGTAGACTGGGTATGTACCTTGTGTGGGGCACTTGGGTAAGATTATTGTATATCTACCTTTGTACATTGGATTATGACTTAGTGGATTGGACGCCTATGTGATCGTCCCCTAGACGTAGATACACACCGTATCGAACTGGGTAAACATTGTGAGTGTTTGTTCTGTGTGTTTGTTTATTTTTATCTGATGTTCTCTTCATGATCTATCATTACTAAGTAGGTGTTTAACTGAATCAATCAGTATTCTAAGTCAGCAAATTATTTCTGATATTTTACGTAAAATGAGGAAATGCAAAATTACATTAAAGATTGACTAGTTAAATACTAGTCCTTGAGTATTAAAAATCAGGATTTTGGGAATCAATTCCTCAAAAGAAATAGAATTAATTGCTCAATTAATTCATGGATTGAAATGTGGATTTTTGGGGTGTCACAACTCAGCACCTGAAAGAAACACATAAAATATGGGACGACGCCCGGTCAGCGAATGATGCTGGTAACCCACCAATACATGTGAAATATCATACATAGATAGGATATATCTATACAAAATCATTTGCAAGACGGAATATACATATATAAGTTCAAATCCAAGAGTAGAAGTCAAACACAAGACTCCATGCACTCACAACAAAGAAAAGGGAACACATCCCAAGACCACAAGAAATAATAACGACTCAAAAGAACGGCTCAAGGCATAATCTACCATCACACAGTAGATTAACACTCGACATGCTTAACACAAGAGAGTAAGGACACAACCATTGGCAACACATGCTTAGGCAACACATTCCTTTGTGACAACACATGTCACAAATAGAGAAATAAACAACAACGACTACACAAGCCTTCGTGACATCACCCATCACGAATTGATATGCCTTCCTTATGCCCGGTTCCAACCTTATGGCTAGCCCCAACCTTATGTCTAGTTCTATACATTACCTCCAGGACCCCTGTGCCACCAAGTCCAACCTTTTCCCTCCTGGGACCGTCGTCCTCCATCAACGACCACCAACAAGACCACCGATACATAAACAACAGGAAGTCAAAAGATCAAATACCGAGACAACCAAATCACGGGGAACAAATCCCAACATCACCACAACCATGTACCCGCGGGTGGACCCACGGGTAGTGCCCCACCCGCCATTTCGCCCGCGGGATCATACCTGTTCCACAGCAAATCCCTTCGGGGATTTTCTTCTCCAAACACCTATTCAAGTCCAAAGCATGTCAAATCTCACCCAACACAACAAAATGACTTGAACCGTGGAAAATTCCAAGCAATGGCACAAGGAACCCTAAACACAAGCTCTAGATATGCAATATCACAAGATAAATGCATAAACCCTCACATTTCATAGCAAAGACAAGTAGAATCCAAGAAATCACATATAGGTAAGCAAAATAGGTTTTGTAGAGCATGGGTTACCTCTTGTAGACCAAAAGACTTCACTTTACACCACCACAAGCTCCCCACAAAGATTACTTCTCAAACCCACTTCAAGATCAAACCAAAAGATCATAAAGATCCTACCTTTAAGAAAAAGACAACTAAGATGGGACCAAAAAGACTAGATAAACTTAGATCTTACCCTCCTAGATGCCCAAATAGGTGAAAGGTTGAATCTTGGAAGCAAAACTTGTAATCTTGACAAGGGTCTCAACTTGGCTTGAAGAATAACCTACTCTTCTTTTCTAGAGAGAAGGTAGAGATATTTTCTAAGGATTGTAAGGAATGAAATGAAGAAGTGTTCTAGGTTTAGGTTTCAATACTAACTTTTGATGAAAAGACAAGGATACCTTTACTAAGCTTTAGAAAGTGTAAGGAACAAGGGAACTCCTCTCAAAGCACAAGGTACAACACAACTTAAAGATTTATTAGTCAAATACTAGTCCTTGAGTATTAAAAATCAGGATTTTAGGAATCAATTCCTCAAAAGAAATAGAATTAACTACTCAATTAATTCATGGATTGAAATGTGGATTTTTGGGGTGTCACATCCTCTCCCCCTTCAAAGAAGCTTCGTCCCCGAAGCTTGGGTACGACGAATTAGAAACAAACTGTGATAGGAAACAACATTGTGACAAGAGGTTCAAGAATAACTAATTTGGTCAAAATTTCCAAAAGATTCAACAAGGATTCCCAAGAAAAGAAGAAGGCATTTCGGATTCAAAGATTGGTCAAGAGCAAAACAAACGGATAGATTGAGCATCAAAAACTCTAACTTCAACACAACCACCAACTTCTAGACAACAAACAAGAACCAAACAACTAACTCCGAACACCAACTTGCTAAGCTAGCAACAACAAGCAAAACAAACAAGCACGCAAAGCAAACAACAACCTAACGCCAAGCTAACAACGGCTAAGAAGGAAACAACAAGGAAAAAGGCGAACGGAACAACCACAACAAAAACTAGAACTCTTCACTCTCCGACTCTTCGGCATCTTCAAACTCTTCCTCTTCGTCTTCATCTCTACGGCTAGAACTGGCTTCAAACTGATCCAACCTCTGATGCACTGCGACAAACTGCGCCTTCATAAACGCGAAACCCTCGGCGATCATGCTGTTCTGCTGGCAAAGTAAGGCGACAACGCGCTCCTCATGCGCCCTGGCATCATGCCCTCTCTTTGTGCGAGCTTCATTCCTTCTCCGGTTTTCCTCACTGTCTGAATCACTTTCTTCAGCTTCGGCGGCCTCCGGTGCTTCTACTTCCTCTTCAACTTCTTCGTCACTGCCCAAACTCTGGACTGCGAGGCTCAACTTCCCGGCAGGGATTCCAAGCTCGGCAGCTAACTCTGCCCGTTCCTTAGGTGCTTTCCTTGCAACCTCTTCGAGCGTGATGTACTCACCATCATCCAACTGGAACAGGTTACAACTCCGGAGATTGGCGGCATCCAACACAATCTTTCCCACGGCCTTCGGGAGACAACCATCCACACTAACACCCTTCCTAACCAAGATCCAACTCAGCACCATCCCATAAGGTAAGCTCTTCCGATTGTGATCCCGGCAAAACACCATGTGTTGCAACATCAAAGCAGGTAGGTTGAACTTAACCATGTTCTTCAGACAAAAAGCAAAGGTGCACTCCAACTTACCCAACAAACTGCTCTTGATGTTATTAGGCAACAAACAATCCGACACCAACATCACCAAGATCTTTTGCTCCGTAGACAACCACTTCATCTCCGGCCTAGAGGCTTGAGTGAAACCACTCGTACGGCCTAACAAGTAGCTCAAATAGTCACGGTACCCCATGGTATCCGTACTAATCCATGAATGACCACTGTACTGAGCCACTCCGGTAGCAGACAAACTAAACAACTGAGCCAACCTCTTCTCAGAAAGCACAACTTTCACACCTCTCACCTTAGAGGTGATCTCAAGACTTTCTCCTTCCTTCGTCACAACCATGTGACGGTAAAACTCTTTCACCAAACTTGGGTATGTCTCGGCCCTTATGGCGAGAAACACATCCAACAAACCTTGAAACTTAAGCAAATCCAACAAGGAACTTGAGAAAGATTCCGGGTCAAAAGCTTTACCTTCAAGCACAAGGTAGTGGGCATCCACCCATTCCGCTTTTCTAGCCAAACTTGACCTTCTAGGCATGGTGGGAGATGATCCAAAGCTCAACAAGCAAAGCCCACAACTTCTTCTTAACACCCACACTCTCGCTGCTCCTCTCTCTCTCTCTCGCGCGCGCTCTCTCTCTCTCTCGCAGGCTCTCTCGGCGACGCAGCAGCAGCAGCTCGGTGGTGGCGGCGGTGAAGCTCCAGCGAACGGCGACGGCTGGGGTGTGGCGGTTCGGTGGTGGCCGGTGACGGGTGGAAGGGGTGCTACGGGTTGGGTGCTCACACGGGTAGAGAAGAGAAGAAGAGAAGAAGAGAAGAAGAAAAGAGAATTTGGGGATTTAGGGATTTGGGAGAAAAATTGGAGAAAAGATGATTAAATTTGGGAATTTTGGGTAAAGAGGAAAAATTATGGTTGAAAAGGAATTAGAATTGGGTAAGTTCTAAGAAAGATAATTAGCTCAAGTGATTTAAAAGTTGGGTAGAAAAGAAATAGGCTTGGGTTCAAAACTCAAAGGCT